AGGAGTGAAAACTGACCTTTTCCAGTCCTGTGGCCACTGCTGAGTTTTCCAAATTTGCTGGCATATTGCGTGCAGCATTTTAACAGCATCATCTTTTAGGATTTGAAACAACTTACCTGGAATTCCATCACCTCCACTAATTATTTGTAGTAATGCTTCCTAAGGCCCACTTGACTTCACACTCCATGATGTTTGGCTTTTGGTGAGTGACCATACCATCGTGGTTATGTGTGTCATTAAGACCTTTTTTGGGTACAGTTCTTCTGTGTACTCTTGCCACCTCTTTTTAATCTCTTTGTCCCTTGTTAGGTCCTTAACACTTCTGTCCTTTATGGTGTCCATCCTTGCATGAAATGTTCCCTTAACATCTCCAATTTTCTTGACTCGATCTATAGTCTTTCCCATTCTATCTTTTTCCTCTATTTCCTTGCACTGTTCACTTAAGAAGGCCTGAGTTTAGAAAAGGCACAGGAACCAGAGATCAAATTGCCAACATTCATCGATCATAGAGAAAGCAAGGGAATTCCAGGAAGACATCTACTTTTGCTTAATTGACAGTGCTAAAGACCCACTTTGACGCTGTGGGTCACAACAAATTGTGGAAAATTCTTAAAGAGATGGGAATATCAGACCACCTTACCAGTCTCCTAAGAAATCTATGTGGATCAAGAAACAACATTTAGAACCAGACATGGAACAACAGACTGGTTCAAAATTGGGAAAGGAGTATGTCAAGGCTGTTATATTGTCATCCTGCTTATTTGATTTCTGTGCAGAGTACATTATTCGAAATGCTGGCTTGGATGGAGCACAAGCTGGAATCAAGATTGCTGGGAGAAATGTCAACAATGTAAAAAAAAAATGCAGATGATACCGCCCTAATGGCAGGAAGTGAAGAGAAACTAAAGAGCTTCTTGATGAGTGTAAAAGAAGAGGGTGAAAAAGCTGGCTTAAAACCCAACATTAAAAAAAACTTAAGATTGTGGCATCTGGGAAAGCAGTGACAGATTTTACTCTCTTGGGCTCCAGAATCACTGCAGACAGTGACTGTAGTCATGAAATTAAAAGATGCTTCCTCTTTGGAAGGAAGCTAAGACAAACCTAGACAGTGTATTAAAAAGCAGAGATATCAGTTTGCCACAAAGGTCTGTATAGTCAAAGCTATGGTTTTTCCAGTGGTCATGTACAGATGTGAGAGTTGGACCATAAAGAAGACTGAGTGCCAGAGAATTGATGCTTTCAAATTGTGGTGCCGGAGAAGACTCTTGAGAGTCCCTTGGACTGCAAGGCTATCAGACCAGTCAATCCTAAAAATCTACCCTGATTATTCATTGGAAGAATTTTAGCTGAAGCTCCAGTACTTTGGCCATCTGATGCAAAGAGCTGACTCATTGAAAAAGACCTTGATGCTGGGACAGATTGAAGGCAAAATGAGAAGGGGGCGACAAAGGATGAGATGGTTAGATAGCATCACCGACTCAGTGGACATGAATTTGCAAACTCTGGGAGATAATGAAGGACAGGGAAGCATGGTGAGATGCATTTCACGGGGTTGCAGAGATTCGGACATGATTTAATGACTGAACAACAATCATTAAGCATATATTCTAGCAGTTCTAAATTAGATTTTATATAATCATCTCAATTTCATGTTTATTGCTATGAAGATTCCTGTATTTTCCATTGGACAGTTCTTTTTATTAAAGAACATTCCAAGAATATGAACTATCTTTGGACAAGTGAAATGCAGGGGGCCAGGGCTGAATAAGCTATTTTCCCTGCCCTTGAGGCTCATCATCTTGGGGGAATCTCATCATTTGAACAAGTAACTTAAGAAGCTGTTACGGTATTGTTCATAGACCTTGTGCAAACCTTTTTGTTAAAGTGGGAACTGCAACGTTTTCTTTCATTAATCCTGTTATTTTTTTACCTTTAAGTTTTAATTATAACTTCTTAATCACTGTAGGAAATAGTTATTAGTCTCTTGGGAAGCATAAAAGCTTTTAGGAAATATAACTTCTGGGTAGTTTGGACATATGGTATTTAGAATTCAAGTGTAATTCTGTACATTTTTTAGTGGCAAATGTAGGGTGAGATTTTCTTAGTGGTTTAGACTGTAAGGTTGTGAAAGGGTAGCCTTTGTGGTATTCAGTGCTTTGAGCTGTCTACAGTTCTTGGCTGTAATGAATAATTCTGTTACATTCAGGTATAAGTTTCTGTGTGGATATGTGTTTTCACTTCTCTTGGTAACTCCTGTCTTTAACTGCTATGCTGCTCATCAGCTTCCTTGCCTACCAGTTGACATCTCCTGCACAGCCCTACATTTAAGGGTCTCCATGTGATAGTTCCAACCTAACCTGTGTCTCTGTAGTCATCTTTGTTGATTGACATGTAGCCCAAGCTCCAGACAATCCCAGCTGCAAAATGTCCCTAATGTGCGTCTTGCATTTTCTAATTTCTGTGGCTTTTCAAGATCCTGCCTGTTGAGAGCGTATATTACCTTTGTAATTTACTCCTGACCATTCCTCTCCTCCTGCATTAAATTTTTGCTCTTCCCACTCAACCCTTACAACACTGTATTCCTTTATGGCCCTTAACACTCTTTGGCCCCAAGTCGTCATTGTTTATGTCTTCTGACTTGCAGCCCTGCCTGTCCGGTACAGTACCCACCACCTACATGTTACAATTCAGAGTCCAGCTAACGTGCAGGTCCTTGGTTGAGCCACATTTCAAGTGTTCAGGTAGCTGTTAGTGACTGCTGCGTGTGGACGGAGCAGATGTACATTTCCATCTTCACAGAAAGTTCTGTGGGACCGCACTTTTCTAGGTGGTGAACTCAGAATAGGGACTGTGACTTGTCTTTTCCCCCTCTGTGACCTCTGTGTAGTGCTTTACTTACTCAGTTAAGAAAAGGAAATTAGATCCTGGCACAGAAGAGAGAAACAGAGTTATTGAAAAGTATTCACTTCTCTAGAAATGATAGTTGTACCGGAGAAGTAGATGAAATATGTGAAAAATCTCCACATCTTATGTTGCAGATCCACCAAGAAGGGGTTAAAAGTGCAAGCTAATGGGGATTGACAAGTTACCAATTTGTTTCTTCTTAAACTGTGATGTAAAATACAGTTGGTTTTCATGTCTGCTTCTTATGCTTTGCTGTCCTTGTTTCTTTCTAATCTGTTCTGTAGATTTGCACTGTCCAGTATGGTAGCCTACAGCCAAACACTACTATTGAAATTTAGACTGAGATTAAATAAAAAATCAAATCTGATCCTAGCCACATTTTTCAGGCGCTCATTGTTTACTTGTATTTATAGCTAATGGATGCTATACTAGACAGCACAGATAGGGAACACTTCATCCTTGTTCTTCTGGACAGCACTGATCTAGATTTCTGTCTTAGCTGTGGTTGTGGATGTCATGTCAAATTTTGTTCTGCCTTTTGGTTAGGATGTTAAATAAGACAGTTATTTAGGTAATGAATATCCCAATCACTGATATCCCCAATTAGTTTCTACTTTAGAACTTACTGCACAGGCTAAGGACTTGACCAGGTGTACTGAACTGCTTGGTTGTAACTATTCTAAGTCAGTAAGATGAGGTAGAAATTTGGAGCGGTGTGTTTTTGTATCTTGCCTTTGCAGTGGAGTTTGATGCTGTGAAGTGCATATGACCTTTAGAAAGTCAGCAGGTAGTGGCACCTTTTTTTGTGTGTCGCTGTCTTTGGTGCTAGACCTACTGCAAACAGGACTGAGTTCCAGTTTCCTGTCTACATTCTAGCTGAGGATGTGGTGGGGCAGGCAGACACTGGCAAATACATGTACACTTTATGCTTTGCTTTTTTTTTGGCCACACCATGTAGCTAGTGGAATATCAGTTCCTCAGCCAGGGATTGAACCTGGGTCGTGGCAGTGAAAGCGCAGAATTCTAATGGCGAGGTTACCAGAGAACTGCCTGTTTTTCTTTTTAAATAGACTTTATTTTTTTAGAGCAGTTTTGGTTTCAGAGCAAAACTGAGCAGAAAGTGCAGAGTTCCCATGTGCCTGTTGTCACCCACTCCCACCGCCATTGCTGTTTTTATTTTTAAATTTAAGATCCCTTTAATTCTTACTACCAAGTAAGTCAGTGATTGACTTACTGGATAAGGAATACTGAATAGTCTTAATTAAACTCACACTTTAAGGATACATTGGGTGATAAAATTCAGAGGAAGGGATAAAACCATGGTTGTAGCTGTGCAAATTCTTGAACTTGTCAGGCAAAGAAGATGATGAATTATAGAACATTGACTGGGTTAATAGAGTTGCAGTGCTGTAGCTAATTTGTCTCTTTTAGGAAATACACATATATTTTATTTATTTTTAGGAAGTATATAATTTAACATAAGTTGTTTCAGAAGTAGAGAGAGGTGCAAGAAGAACGTTAAACCACTCCATCTAGAGGCAGTCACGGTTCATGCTTTATTCTCCTCCCAGATTTTTTTCTGTCTGTGCTGGAGGTGTACTTGCCTGTATGTGTAGGTGCACATTTGGGATCATACTGCATTAAAGTATTGTACTCCCTCCCCTTTTACCCAGTTATCGTTGTATCATCCTGTGTTTTTAAACACTTAAAAAAAGCAGCTGCATGGTATTTCATGCGCTGGATAGATCTGGTTAAGAATGTTCTTTGTAATAAAGATGTTTAGATTATTTATAGTTTTTTTTTTTAACTGTTTTGAAAAACAGGGACATGAACACTTTTTTCCCTTAGCTTCTGATGGACTCGAGAGTTATAAAGCAAAGCATACAGTGTCCTGGTGGGCACCCGTTAGGGCTCTGGCATTCCTTTTCTGTTCTCTGTTGGTTAGCAGCAGCATGGAGTGCCTTGTTGCTGCATTTCATAACAGATTTGAGAAAGGCCTCTTGCTACCTGCTTTTTTGAGACTGGTGATGGAGAAAAACCTGAGAACAAAAGTGCTTGGCTAAATCACTTTTTTTCCCTTTTTAGTTCTTGAAATCATGAATCCTGTTTATAGCCCGGGTTCTTCTGGGGTACCCTATGCAAATGCCAAAGGAATTGGTTATCCAGGTAAGCACGTAAAATTTTGTTTCCATTATTAAACTTTGAATACATGGTCCATTTCTATGTCATTAAGAATGCTTTTGATGACAGACCCAGCTCAAGTGGGTTAGATAAGGACGAAAATGTGTCAGTCCATGGAATTGAAAAATCAGGAGCTTGGGCTGGCTTTGGTCAGAGCCTGATCTGACGGCTGCCAGGGTAGGGACCAGGTCTGGTTTCTTCACTTCCTGTGCTCAGCTTCACTTCCTCAGTGTTGTCACAGTGTGGGGCACGGGTCGCACTTCTCCCTATTGTGGTTGTGTGGTGCTCAGCCCCTCCCTTGGCTGAGTCTCTTCATCTGGCTCTGTGGGAAAGCCCCATGGGACTTCTCTTCATGCCAGCACCCTGGATCGGGAGGGGAGTCTACTGATGAATTTAGGCCTGAGCCACATTCTCCACCTCAATGAAGCCTACTGGTCAAACATGGGCTGAAATAGGGTGAAGCAAAATTTGGGAGAATAGGAGTTGGTGGTCAAAAATAGCAAATGGTTACCCTAATTGAAAAGAATAATGTAATATTACAATTTTGGATTTCGATAATATAGTGGTACCATAGATAATACCCCTGAAAAATTGAAGAAGCATTTAAAAAATGTTTAACTGAACTTTTGCAAGAAAGTAAGACTTTTTTACAGCTAAGTATGAAGGTGACGTAAAAACCAGAGTATCTGGCCATTGAGTTGATCTGCCTACCCTAGGGGCATTTGTTCTTTGTGGGTTTTAGCAACCATTTTGGGGACGAAGTGAAGTCTCCGTTCTTATAAGGCTGGGATTTGGAGTGGGACCCCTCATTAGTCTGATTCCTCCAGAGAGTGATACTCCCATAAGAGAGGTAAGTAGATCAGTCCATACTGGTTCCATGGAGACGTTCATTTCAGCTTGGGCTCTGGGAAGGAAGAAGTGTTTTCTAAGAATTTGTAACCATTCAAGGATGTTTTGGCTTCTGCTTTGAATTACTTGTCCTTCCAAGGGGTGCATAAATTGAGAAACTAACAAAAAAAATAGTCTCTAGGCTGCATTGTCCCCTGAAGCCCCTGACAGCAGCAAATGCAGAACTGTGTGAGGGCAGGTGTTCGCAGGTCAGGTCGGGCGGGCTTCACACACAGTTCTGCTTGGTACGTCGCAATCATAATGAACACCGTGATGTGCATCATGCCTGAGTCACCAGTCGTGATAGATAGCAGGAATAAAACATCAGGTAGAAACCACATCAGACAAGCGTGCTGATAGTAATTGAAGATGCGAAAGAAAGAATCATAGCAAAAAGAACCAACTGGAACTGAAATGAAAAAAGAAAAAAAAAAGAATTTGAACAAAATTCCAGTTAAACCGCAGGCAAAACACTGCTAAAGGAGGGACCAGCATGCAGCATAAGGAAGGGGAGAAGTAGACTGGTTAAGAAATAGAGGTGTTAGGGTGAGAAGTTTAGAGGAGAATTAAAAGCTCCAGAAGGACTAAGTAGAGAGACTAGAAGAAAAATAGTGACAGGATTTTCTAGAATTGGTAAAAGATAATTTAGTGGTAAGTCCTCCTGTCTTTAATGTATTTGCATTAGTTTAAACAGAGTTCCAGATAATCTGCTGAGGAGAATCCTGTGTAGATCTGAAATCAGGGAATAGGTAAAACCTGATGGTGTTAGCATTACATGATAGACTATGTAATGAAATATTGGTTGCTTGTCATATACCAGTACTGTGTACTTTTTTAGGGTTTTTTTGTTTTTGGTCTTTAAGTTAAATATAAAACGAAACTTCTGAAATTTTAAATGTTTAAAATTTTATAATTGATTCTTATTTTAGTCATTTTTTTATACCTATCTCTTGCCTTGCTTTTAGTATCTTGGTCTCCTTGCTTTTGATAAAACTCTCTGGATCAGCAAAAGTTCCGTATAGAAAACTAATAAGCCACTCCAGGTATTTTGCATGGAAATTGGAGTTAAACACAGTGAAATAATGTGCCTGCGGAAGTTTAAGGCTAGGATAACTTTAGTACCAAAAACAAGACATCACAAGGAAAGAAAGTACCTTTATACCATTTTATGCTTTTATACCATTCTATACTTTTATACTTTAGTGAGACTTCCCTGGTGTCTCAGACGGTAAAGCATCTGCCTACAATGCAGGAGACCTGGGTTCAATCCCTGGGTTGGGCAGATCCTCTGGAGAAGGAAATGGCAACTCACTACAGTATTCTTGCCTGGAAAATCCCATAGATGGAAGAGCCTGGTAGGCTACAGTCCGTGGGGTCTCGAGTCAGACATGACAGAGTGACTTCACCTTACCTTACCTTATACTTTAATACGAGCAGATGGAGAGGTTTGTCCATAATCTTCTAAAATTTACATTTAATGGGAAAAAAGGAACACCTTCTAATTGTAGTTACTGATAGCTGACATACTGTCCTTCATACCTGTAGATTTTGGGTATCATGTCCTGGAACCTAGGATACTGAGGGATGACAATAATTGGGTTCATATACACCATCTTACTGTTGTTTTCTAATTCATAGCTCCTGTATTTGTTTTGTTCAGTTTCTTTTTCTTCTTTTGGATTAACCAAATATTTTACGTTAAATTTTTCCTTCTGTTAATTTTTGAAAAAATTACTATTTAGTGATGACTCTTAACAATTACAACACATTTTGCCCCCTCTCTTCTTTTGTGTATCATTGCCATGCCTTAAGCCATTACTGTTTTTATTCTGTGCAGTCAACATTAACTCACATTATTATTTTCATTGCTTTCTGTACCTCTGTGGTTTTTATCTGGGATCATTTTCCTTTTACTGGGATAAATCCCTTCAGTTTCCCCCTCTTCCCCCACTCTTGCTGCATGTCTGCTAGCAGTGAATTTTCTTTGTGAAAATGTTTTTATTTTGCTTTCATTTTTGAGCCTATTTTTGATGAGTGTACTGGCTTTCTGTGACTGCTGTTAAAACCACAGAAATTGATTCTCTCACAGCTGTGGGAACCAGAAGCCAAACTCCGGGTGTGGCAGGGCCGCGCGCGCTGTGGAAGCTGGAGGGGAGGGCCCTGTCTTGCTTCTTGAGTCTCTGCGGCGTTCAGCATTCCTTGACATAGGTGGCTGTGTGGGCGCGTCACTCCGGCTTCTGCTTTCATGGCTGCATCACTTCCTTCTCATCTGTGTTGCATAGTGTGGGCACTTGGGTTTAGGCCCCGACCACCTGTAATCTGTGATGAGTATCTTGAGATCCTTATGTCTACAAAGAACCTTTTCCCAAAGAAAATAACATTTATAGATTCCAGGGATTTGATGATATTTCTTCTGAGGAGTCTGAGGAGTTCCTTTTTTTTTTTGCCCGCCACACTGAGTGTACAGTTTTAGGTTGGCATATTTTCTCTCAGCAGTTTAAAGGTAGTTAGTTATGTTGTCCTCTGGTTTCTGTCATTTTTGTTTCTTTGAAATTAGTATTTCCTTGCTGCTTTTAATGTATCTGTGTTTTTGCTGTGAAATGACTAGATGTGATTTTGTTTTGTGTTTATTTCTCTTAGTGCTCACGAGCTCTTTGACTTTGGCTTCATTTAAAAATTTTTTTTTTTATTTAGGCTGTGTCAGGTCTTAGTTGCAGCCATGTGGGATCTTTAGTCACAGCATGCTGACTGCTAGGTGCAGCGTGTGGGATCTAGTTCTCTCACCAGGGATAGAACTTGGGCCCCCTGAATGGGGAGCACGGAGCCTTAGGTGCTGGACCATCAGGGAAGGAAGGAATGGGAAGAAAAGAATATCTCCTCTGAAGTGAAGGTAGTTTTTCCAAAAGAGTAGGGTTTAGTCTCAATTTAAGGAGAACACTTTTAAATAGCTTGGACAGCTCAAAACTGCTATTTAGGGAACTGAAAACCAAGTAAGCCAAGAACAACATTAAAAAAAAAAATTCTGGCAAAGCAGCAAGAGAATGAAAAGTTGGTTTTGCATAGTTTTTCAACACCAAAGTAAGGGAAGAGGCACCTCTTCTCAAAAGGCTCTGAAAACCTGTGGCATCAATGGGTAGTTGCAGGGGGTTGGGGTTTCTCTCTCAGAGGCTCCTAGGGCACTCACCTCTCTCTATCCTACCCCATTACTACATTCACCCTTTCTCCCTCCACTTCCACACCGAAGGGACAGCACTTCTTAGACTTGAACCTGCAGGGGCCATCTCTGCAGCCTAGATTGTCCCTGGAGCCTGGGGAGTTCTGCAACTGGAAGCCAGACTTGCAAGGCTGCCAGAGGTGCATGGGACCTGGAAAGAACTGGATGGGGACGACTGGAGCCTTAAAGCTCACCCACCAAGGGGAAGAAGGAGCCCATCTTTTTAGGGAGCAGGATCAGCCTGCTCCCTACCCCTTTGGTGATCAATATTCCCTTGATGAGACAGGGACCACCTCCTGACTGTACCCCTGGATTCTGCCCTAAGAGGCCTCTGGCACCTGTGACAGTGCGGGTCCCGACCTCTTCAGTCAACTGAGGCCAGCGCTTCAGGGGTCCCTCCGGTCCCATCTCAGTCCCCTCCTCCCTGTTACTTTATCTAAGAGAGGAAGGAGGACAGAGGGACTTGGCTGAATCAAGGGTTCCATGAGCCTGTGGACCAGTTTTAATCCCTAGAGCCTGAGATTCAATTAAATATTACTGGAACCTACTGTAAGGTAGGTAGTCTTCCCTGTAACCCAGATGGGAAAGAATCTGCTTGCAATGCAGGAGACCAACTGGGTTGGATTCCTGGGTTGGAAAGATCCTCTGGAGAAGGGAATGGCAGTCCACTCCAGTATGCTTGCCTGGAGAATCCCATGGGCAGAGAAGCCTGGTGGGCTACAGTCCGTGGCACAGTGTTGGACATGGCTGAGTGAGTCCACTATTACTACTACTGTAAGGTTAGGAGACTGAGTCTCACCCCCTTGGATACGTCCCAGGGCACCCCACCTCAACTTCAGGAGGAGGGTTGCTGCAGCTCCTGCTCCCAGATTCCCCTCTGGACTTTTAGGTTACAGTGGAGCAAGCCTGGGTAGTGGAGGGCAGGGGCAAGATGATGGACCAAAGACTTAAAACACTGTGCACAGGTCTCCTCAACAGCTGCAGCAGCTCAGAGCAAACCTGAGCTCTAGTTTTCAAAGTAAGAAATACAGAGTTATTTTAAAGACCACGTTGCAGTCTCTGGATCTGTGGTCTGTTATCTTTTTCACCCATATATGGTCCTGTGCCTTACCATTCCTAGTATTTTTTTCATGGAATGTAATACATGCTGTATTAAAAAGTATAGGTGGTCCAGTTTCTGTCTCTCCCCGCCCCCCCCCCCCCCAATTTGAGGTATGATTGGTAAGAAAAGATTGTATATGTTTAGTTTGTACAGCATGGGTTTTTTTAAAGTGTATGTGATGATTTAATGTATGTATATGTTGTAAAATGACTACCACAATTGAGTTTCTCTAAATACTACCACACTGGGGATTAGAGTTTCAAAAAATAAGTTTTGGAGGGCACATTGACATTCAGCCATATCATGCCCCAGGCCAACTGTGTCCAAATATTCTAATTTCTCCTTTGTTACACAAAGGGTGTTGTACACTGAGATGGAATTAGGCGTGCAGACATCACTGTTGTGGATGACACTTGTGAAGGATCTGGTGGTGGAAGCAGCACTGGGGAGGGAGACTCAGGACTGTGGTCACATGTGCAGAGTCAGCTGGCTCGTTGAGCCCTGTGGTAGTGTCGGCAGGGGAGGCCCCAGCAGGCAGAAGTGGCCCGAGAGTGTGCTGCTGCGGAACGCTGTCAGCCTCCTTCCTCCTTGAGGCTGAATAGGCTTGTGGAATGGAGGTGCAGGTGGTGGTGTACGCTTTGCTTTGTCAACTTAATCATTGTTCCCTGTCAGTTCACAAAGTTTTGCCTTGTTCTTTGTGTTTTACGTAATACTGCTGCGTACGTCTCCCAAGTTGTGGGGTTTTCATAGTTTAATTCAACCAGTTCTTTGGATGGATATGTTGTTTGAAGGATTTTGCTATTCCAGTAATACTGCAGTGGATTGTGTTTGTGGAAATTGCCTTAAGGTGAAATGGCCAGGGGAGCGAGTGCATGCAGATGTAATTTTTTTCCTGTTATTCTTTAAAAAAATTTTTTTTAAAATTTTGTGTTGGAATATAGTTGATTAGCATTGTTGTGTTAGTTTCAGGTCTACAGCAAAGTGATTCAGTTATACATGTACATGTATCCTTTTTCAAAATCTTTTCCCATTTAGGTTATTACAGAATATTGAGCTGAGTTCTCTGTGCTATATAGTAGGTTCTTGTTGGTTATCTGTTTTACATATAGCAACAACTTTACTCTTGTTTACCATAAGTTCTTCTCTAAGTCTGTGAGTCTGTTTCTCTTCTGTAAATAAGTTCCTTTATATCATTTTTCTTTTTTTTGATTCCTCATGTAAGAGGTACCACATGATACTTGTCATTGTCTTGCTTCACTTAGTATGACGACTTCTGGGTGTGTCCATGTTGCTGCAAATGGCATTTCATTCTCTTAATGGCTGAGTAATATTTCACAGTATATATACTACATCTTTTAATGCAAGTGTAACTTTAAAGATGCTGCTGATTTCCCTTCTTCTGTAGGAAAAAAATCCCACTGCTTTGTATTCCTACCAGAAGTGTGTGAGTCTGTAGTCTCCCCCACAGCCTTGCCAGCAGTGTGTTGTCTCCTTTTGGATTTGCACCAGTCTGAAGTCAGAAGTGTGGTTGGCAGTTTTCTCTGTTCATGTCTTCTGTTGATTGTTTTTTCTCTTTTTTTTAACTTTAAAAATTATTTACATATTAAGTGTATTTTCAGTGACTAAATAATTTGCAAGTGGATTGTGAAAGTGGATTGCAAGTTTCCTGTGAAAAGCTGTCTTTTTCACTTAGCTAATGGTATTTTTTGCTATTCTGAAGGTTTTGTTTTCATGAGGTGATTAGGATTTGAGATCACTTCCGATTTCTTGCAAGAGAAGAATGTAATATTTAGCTTTCCAGCCCCTGAGTGCCAGCAGGAAGTAGAGTGAATGTTGGAGACAGTTCATGGTGCTTGCCAAGGGGCATTTCCAGGAGGACAGTTCTGTGGCCAGAACAGTGGGCAGGAACAGGAAGGGACAGTGGTTCTCAACCTTGTTGATTAGAGCCCTGCAAATTAGAATTTCCTGAAGGGATTATAGCTCCTCACAACTAGTTGTGTCATTAGTGAAGACTAGCAGATCTTGGCTCTGTGCCCTGTATTGCCCCAGTGACTTGTAACTGGGTCCAGTTGAACTGTGAGGGCCCTGGAGCAGATAACTGAGGCCCCTCTGGTTTTGACTGAAATTTCTTTTGTGTTCACATGATTGATAAGTGGTTATGATTCAGTCATATTAAGGATCCCTCATTTGTATTAATAAAAGTCAGGTTGCTTGCAAATGGATTGTGAAGTTGGATTTTTCACAGTTCCATGTGTATACACACTTGTATATGGTTCAAGCGTCTTTAGTGCGTGAAGCTCTTAGCACTCTTACTCATCTTGCTAAGCAATGAGCTATGTGAATAAACTCTAGAGTAAAACTGCCAGAAATGGCGTGAGTTTTCTGACTTCACTTTGGGTTTCTGTTTTTCCTTCTTCATTTAATTCCGTTTCTGTCGAGTGTTTTCAGTCACAGAAAGCTGTAGGCATTCGCCCATGGGCTGGAACGGCGTGTTTGTGGCCGTGGCCCCTCACAGCCCTGAGGAAGGGGCCTTGATGACGGCTTGCTGCGCGCCCACACTGCTGCTGGGCTCCTGACCTGAGTCTGGTAGGCGTGGCGAAGAAGGTAAGGGCGGGCAGGCCTCTGGGAGCCATGGTTCTAAAATTGCACTGTTCTTTATTTTTCTCCAGCTGGTTTCCCAGTGGGCTATGCAGCAGCAGCTCCTGCCTACTCCCCGAACATGTACCCTGGAGCGAATCCTACCTTCCAAGCAGGTATGCAAGCCCACATGTGCTGGGTGGTAAAAGTGTTTTGTTAATGTGACTGTGGGAGAATGTAAAGGGCATGAATTTCAAGAAGAGTGGTTATAGAATTGGAATTTGGGGTTTGTGTTGATTTCTTGGTTCATAGGATTAGTCTTCTTGATAAGTACAATAAAAACTTAATTCTTATTGCACTTAAAGCCTTGTATATTGCTTTTGGATGTCCTTCCACAGCACAGAACTTCATTCCAGTCATAGCTTGGTACAAGTAACTATTTGTGCCAGACTTTGTATGTATTTATGAAATAGTGTTGATTACTAGAAACTAAAGATCATCTTGCCATGTTAATGGGTAGAATCTCCATGTTACTAACATTTTTAGAGATAACTGATCTCTCTCTAGTACTTTAGCACTTTGATTATGGTTTTAAAAGAAAGTCTTATTTTCTGTGTAAGGTCCATAGGAATATTTTCAGGTTTTAGAAATCAGTACAGTTGAAAGTGGAATTTGTTGGAGTCTGGACCTTGTAAAGATAGTTTTTCTTAAATGGGACTTTCCTCTGTGAGCCTTCATTTTGCTGTTGGCGCATTCCAGACTTTATTCACCCAGAATGGACTTTATGATTCTGCTGCAACTGTGGTGGCGTACTCTCTGACCCAAAGGCTCAGCCTCATGAGTCTGGTGGGGTGCGTCTTTGCCCCTTGGAACTGTAGCCTCACAGAGTTAACTTGACAGAAGAGGAGACAGCAGCAGTGTCCTTGTCCTGAGTTCTTGGCTTGATAGTCATAAGGTTCTTCCTTGCTTCTGCCCACGTCTCCCACACCAATCCCATTCTTACTGCCTTTGTTCGCCTTGTAGCTCACACCCAAAGGAAGACCATCTTGGCTTTGTCTTTTTGCTCCCAAGGTTTCTCTCCTTGACTTCGTGTCCCTTGGCCTTAAACCAGAGTAGTGGCTGCAGTATGATTTCCCGTGGTTCTTGAGACACAGTGAAGCCTAGAGTCTCCAACTTAAAGTCCCTAGGTCTTTGCACATTGACCTCTTCTTTCCAGAAGAATATTTTTGTTTTGTTTTTGCATGGCTTTTATTTGCAGTCTTTCTCTTACACCTGGACTAGAATACCTGCTACTTTGTGCCATCTTTTGGGATCTGTAAGGGAACATCCCTTCCCTGGGATAAAGCAGTATTTTCCCCTGTTACTATTCACTGTGTTCTTTAACAGCTAAATGGTGCTACTGTCTCCTTTTGTAAGACATATCTTGTTTAACTTTCTAAAAACCACGTCTGAAGGTATGACTAACTCTCAGTAAGCTACATGTATTTAGAGGGTGCTCGATATGATGTATGGCATCCTTTCATTTCATGTGTCCACTCATTCCTCACCCCCAGAAGTTTTCTCCTGCCCCTGCGTGACCTTGCCTAGGCTCCAGGAAATAGCTCATCTGTTTTCCCTCACTGCAGATCACTTGTAGTTAATCTAAAATTTTGTATAAGGGAATCATGTAAAATGTATTTTGGAGGGTGCTGGCTTTCATTGACAATTTTTGACATCCACGTTGTAGTTTATATCAGTGGTTCATTTCTTCTTATTGTTCTGTTGTACAGAAATACCACTAATTGCTTATTTGTTCTCCAGTTGATGAACGTTTGGATTGTTTGCAGTTTGGGGCTGTCACAAATGAAACTGCTATGAATATTTGTGTACATTCTTTATGTGAACATGAACTCTCATTTCTCTTAGTAAGTGCTTCAGGCAGGCAGGTGTATGTTTAACTGTGTAACACTGCCAGCCTGCCTTCCAAAGGGGTTGTGATGTCGTATGTTGCCACCAGCAGTGGGGAGCGTGCAGATTCCCCTACGTCTTTGCCAGTACTTGGTAGTCATCTTGTTTAATTCCAGGCTTGCTAGTGAGTGTGTAGTGACATCTTAATGTAGTTTTAACTTGAACTAATCTGATGACTAATAATGTTAAACCTTGTTTCATGTGCCTGTTTGACTTTGGTTAAATGTGTACATCTTTTTCTGCCTGTCTGTTTTTAAGTTTGTTTTCTTATTGGGTTTGAGAGTTCTTTATCAGATATATGATTTGCAAATATTTTTTCATAGTCTGTGGCTCTTTTCAGTCTCAACATCATCTTTAAAAGAGAAGGAGGTTTAAAATTTAACTAAGTTCAGTTTATCATTTTGTTCTTTTATTGATCATGATTTTGGTATCATTTCTAAGACATCTTTGCCTAACCCAGCATCACAACAGTTTTCTTCTAGAAGTTTTACAGTTTTTGATTTTACTTTTAGATATATGACCCATTTTAGGCTAACGTTTCTGTATGGTGGTAGGAATGAATTGAAGTTAGGTTTTGTATAAGTACTAGTTTTTCTGCTATATGTGATCATGCATGCAGACCTCCAGAAAGTGTCATTGTTCTAGAATTCTCCAGTGTAGCTCACTGTACTCATTTTCTCTGTGGTACAAGTTAATGTAAAAATGTACTAAAAGCTTCCAGTTTTTTCTTACTCTTTTACACAAAGAGCCTCAGGTTTATTTGAGGCTGGTCAGGCTGCTTTGCTTGGCCTGCAGAGGGAGTCTGGTGTGTAGGGGCTGGTGCTGCTGTCTGATTGCTTTCTCCTCATGCCAGCCTGCAGAGCAGCTGCCATTCCTCTTCTTTCTTGTGGGGAAGTGGGTCCTTTCTTGCCTCTTTTCCAAGACTGCTCTCAGGCTGTCCCTCTAACCCAGAAGCTGGGGCCTTCAGGTGGGAGTAGTGGGCCTGATGGGCAAGGTGGCTGCCGAGAGGACCTGCCTTGTTTGAGCGGGTGTCCCCTGCTGAGTACTGGATGGTTGTCAACTGCCACACTGCTGGCCCAGCATTGCCAGATCTTCAGATGGTTAGGAGATGCTGGGAATAAAGATGTATGTAAAATTTGCAAAAAAAAAAAAAAAATGGTACTTTGAAAGTCCCAGCAGTGTCCCGTTGAGTGCTTTTGCCACCTGACTGGAGTCTGGGCTACAACTATGGCCCTGCTTTTTCTGAGATCCTTTCAGTATTTTTATAACTTGAATTTTTAAATTTCCTTTTTTAGTGGGCCTTTTTTCTTATCTCTTGATTAAGTCAAAATTTGTCACTGTAAAAAAATAAAAATTTTTCTCTATTTCTGCTGCTTTCTCAATCTTCTGGTTCTCTCACCACCAGATTTTCAGAAAAAGCTGATGTGTAGCATATGGAGTGTGTATGTGTATGTGGCCTTTAAAGCACTTTTGCAGCCCTAACACTGTTTATGTCTTAGTTCTTACAAGGGCGACATAGGGAGGGTTTAGAGAACCTTAATGATGAGAGATCATGTCTTTTGCTGAAAGATTCCATTGCTCAGAATCTGGAGATGAGGGTGATATTAATTGCATTCTCATGAACAAGCATAGTAGGCTGACTACATGTGCATCCAGAGAGGAATGTCCATTTTTGGAATCAGAACAATATATTGGAAGGAGTTCAGGTTGTTGTGTTAGCAAGATGTGGCGCAAATCCTGACTGTGTCACTCCTGGGAAAGATGTTTAATTTTTGTCATTTATTTAATGAATCATTATATCTCCTCAGCTGTGTTATTTGAGGATTCTAGCAGCAAACACGTGATCTTACTCCCAAGGCACATTCAGGCACACATTCAGGATTCTTTTCTACTCCCATATACAGCCAGCAGTATCTGTAACTAACTTCATATAAGATGAAAACATTGCTAAAAGTTATGCAAAGGCTTTTGTGATTGCTTCCATGCATGGCTTGGTGGTGGATAAATTAGGGAAACATGTTTGGAGGACAGTTTGGTAGTATAATAGAAAGAAGCTTAAAAGTGAGATCAGTATGCAAATAGTTATGTAAGTGCAGATCTATCTAGTAAAGTGATGGGTTGATTAAACTGTTAGTTTATTTCAGTGTTTAACTGGTCTTACTATTTGTTTGAGAGGAATATTAAATAAGTGTAAATGCTTTATGATATGCTGCTTTTTTTCTGTTTAAACTCAGATTTATGTCCATGAAGTAAGATCCCAGATTTGTTTAAAAATTAAGCTTCCCTTTGAACTTGTGGTTGATGTGGGGAAGGAATAGTTAGGGAGTTTGGATGGACATGTGCACATTGCTGTATTTAAAATGGATAGGGCTTCCCTGGTGGCTCAGTGGTGGAGAATCCATCTGCCAGTGCAGGAGAACATGGGTTCGATCCCTGATCTGGGAAGATCCCACATGCTGTGAAGCAACCAAGCCTGTGCGCCGCAACTATTGAGCCTGTGCTCTGGAGCCTGGGAGCAGTAAATCCTGAGCCCACATGTTGTAACTACCGAAGCCCAAGCGCCCTAGAGCCTGTGCTGTGCAACAGGAGAAGCCACTGCAGTGAGAAGCCTGTGCACTGCAACTGGAGAGGAGCTCCCATCCTCTCTCTGTTACTGTGACCATGTCAGTGTTGCTCACTACTGTGAGTGTGTGGCTGTTCTCTTCTGCAATTGCTTTTTTCTTCCCTGGGCCTAGTGTCCTTTATTAGATTCTGTAACTACATAGTTAATTAAACCCTCAACTTCCGCCCAAGGGTGGAATCTCTTCGCAGCTTTTTAGGCCATGTAAGGTGTTTGTGTTTTCCCCTCTTGGTGATGTCTTTTTGAAACCTTCTCTCATCTTCTGGCCTTTGTGCTCTGGGGCTTACCCTGGGTCCTCCTCCTCCTCCATCATCACAGGGAGTTCGCACCTCTTCCGTTCCACTTGGTTCTTTGTCTACTTTTTTAGTTTATTCCTTGGTGTTCGTGGAGGATCTTTGTTCAGTAATCTCTCAAGAGAATATTGGAAAATCATAGTTTTGAGATTTTTCATGTCTGAAGACAATTTATTCTGCACTCACAGTTCATGGTTAGCATGTCTGGATATAGAATTCTAGGCTAACAGTTATTTCCCCTTAAAATTTTGGAAACATTGCTGAATTATTTGCCAGTTTTGTTGCTGCCATTGTGAATGTCATTATATTTTTAAAA